CTTGAGCCACAGCGCCACTTCTGGCTTTTTTCTTTTTGCTTATGTGGTGCTGAGGAATCGAACCCAGGGCCTCATGCATGCAAGGCAAGCGCTCTGCCACTGAGCCACCTTCCCAGCCTGGACCTATTTTAAAAGTGAGGCCAGAGGCCAAAGAGGGAAGGAGAGAGGAGGGGAAGGGTGGAGTGGGGAGGGGAGGGGAGGGGCTGTACCTGTAGGATCCTGAGATGACCTTGTCACCATCCAGGAGTACAAATTTCTCTCGCACACTGCCGCTCACCTGCCGCCTCCAGCGGCTCTGGAAGGTGCAGCCTCGCACCAGACGGATGTCCAGATTCTGGTGGGGGTAGAAAGAACATGGGTGTGTGTGTGTGTGTGTGCGCGCGCGCGCGCTTCTGCTCTTCTTGGGACCTTAACTCAGGACCTTGTGCTCTCCTTGAGCTTTTTTGGTTGAAGTCCTAGTGCTCTACCACTTGAGCCACAGCTCCATTTCTAGCTTTTTACTGGTTAATTGGAAATCAGAGTCTCACAGACTTTCCTGCCTGAAGTCCTAATGCTCTACCACTTGAGCCACAGCTCCATTTCTAGCTTTTTACTGGTTAATTGGAAATCAGAGTCTCACAGACTTTCCTGCCTGGCCTGGTTTCAAACCTCGATCCTCAGATCTCAGCCTCCTGAGTCGCTGGGATTACAGGCGTGAGCCCCTAGTGCCTGGCTTAGGAACACGCTTTTCATCGGTCACATCATGGGGGCCCCCTCCAGGCCAGTTCCATAGTTGTCCCAGAGGGGAAACCCCTCTGACCCAGCGCTCCAAGTCCCCTCAGGGAGCATTCGCTGGCACCCCTCCCAACACGTCTCATGGGACGCTAGGGCTGGCATGAGCCAGGTCAGCACCTCTGGCCCAGCGCCTACCTCCGTGGTCCAGAGGTTTATACCCAGCTGCTGAGCCAGTGCCAGGAAGCTGGGGAGCTGCTGGTGATCCAGGAGCACGTAGACGGGGACCCAGCGGCGCGTGGCAGCGTCCACCAAATCCATCAGCAGGTCTGGGTCAGTGAAGGCATCCATGACTACAGCCACCAGCTGCGGGGAGGGAGGCAATGTAGACATGAGTGTTCCCCCGAAGGAAGGAAGAGGCCTGATGTCAGAACACACGGGCGGGGGGGCTGCTTGGCAGGCTATATGGCTATTTTTCTTTTCTTGGTGCCAGTATTGGGGTTGAACTTGTGGCCTCCCTCATGCTCTTGCTTGGCTTTTTCACTCAAGGTTGGTACTCTGCCCCTTGAGGCACAGTGCCACTTCCGGCTTTTTGCTACTGGTTGGTTGGAGATAAGAGGCTCACAGAGTTTCCTGCCCAGGCTGGCATTGAACCCCGATCCTCAGATCTTCCTGAGTAGCTGGGATTGCATGCAGGCATGAGCCTCAAGGGGCCGAATTACGGACCCTGGACAGTGAGAATCATACAGCCCCTCGTCAATGCCCCAGCCCCTAACAGCTGAAAGCAGCTGGTGACTCTGTACTGTCCAACTGTCTGTGGCAGCCCCGCTCCAGGTCCTGCAACCCTGAATCCCCGGCAACAGGCACGAAAGGGTGGGCCTCTGAAGTCCACCCAGGGGTGGTTTGGAGACCTGAGCATGCTGAGGGCCTTGGATCTGGCAGGGTGACAAACCCTGGCTCACCGCATGACTTGCCCGAGGACCGTTTACAGGCAAGTGCTTAAGCCACCCCATGCCTCAGTTTCCCCAACTCCTCCATGGGCCTAACAACAGATTTCCCCTCACAGGGCCCTAGGAGGGACCATGACATTAACCAATGGACCCCAGCCACTTAGTACTGGTATCTGGAGACCACCAAGACTGCGACATAAAAAGACTGTCTAGTTGGGCATGGTGACTCATGCCTGTAATCCCGGGCACTTGGGAGGTGAAGGGAGGTGGACTGAAAAAGTTTGAGGTCAGTCTAAGCAAAGTTGAGACCGCCTCTCAAAGTGAAGCAAAACAAAACAGAACAAGTATTTTTTTCCTGTGAGCTGTGGGGCACCATGGCAGTGCTGGGTCTGGTGAAGGTGGCAAGAGGTGGGGTATGGGGGAGTAGATGGTGGAGATGGGGTTCAGAATTAGGTTTGAGGGTGCCAGGGCTATGGATTGTGGGGAGCAGGGGGCCTGGCAGGGGTCTCCATTGTGGGAGCAGCCAGAGGCCAACGGATGGACGCCAGGCTCCCTGGGGACTTACCTTATTGGCGGCCTGGATCTGGACTCTCACCAGCTCCTTGATGGGTGGGTGGCCCTCGCCAGGGGGCTGCGTGTACAGCTGCGCCCTTGTGATGCCTTTCCAGGCTGTGTCCTCCGGCCAGCCCAGCCGCAGCTCAGGAGCAGGCTCCTCCGACTGCGCAGGCCAGTAGGTCAGGCTGTCCCCATCCCCATCAGGGCTGGTAGCTGCTGCTTGCACTAGCCCGCTGGGCTCCTGTCCATCTACTGTCCAGTCTCTGGCAGCCACAGCCAGGCCCTGGACCTCATCCCTGCTCAGGAAGGGCCGCAGCCCCTCCTGCTGCACGCAGGCATGGAAAGCCTCGGTGCCCCTGCTTAGCAGAGCCTCGAGCGCCAGCCGCTGGCCCTCAGAATACAGGAAGCTGTGGCTGGCCTGGCTGAGCGTGGGCACTTCAGCCCCGGGCTCTTCTCCCAGTGCTGCTAGTTGTGAGGCTGCCATTTGCGTAGCAGGAGAGGCCGTGCCTGGAGGGCCTTGGCTGTCCTCGGAGGACTGACCATCTGACAGACTCTACATGGCCATCCAGGGTCTCCGGGGTGGCTTTGCCAATGTCCACGCCACTCCCTGCAGCTGGCTGCTGGTCCCAGCAATCAGATCACCTGCCCAGTGTGCTAGCCAGCTCAGATGCCCCAGCTGCCGGCAGTCACCACGAACTGGCCTGTTCCACCATCCCATGGGTGGGGAGGGGAGATAGCTTGACCCCACCTGCACCTTGGGGAGCTCTTACCACCGGCACAACCACACAGCATCAAGCCTACCAGCCACAATGAAGTGCAGGAGTTGGATGTCCCCAACTTGTTAGGCTGATCATCCACCTGCCCAGGACAAAGGTCTGGACACTACCAGCCATTTCCAGGAAATAAGTGGTTTGCCCGGTGTGGTCGCTCAGCAAGGGCAGGATGGGTGAGGCCTGCCAATGGCTCTCTCGCAGTCTGGCAGGCATAGAATCCGGCTGGGCAAGGCCCCCACCTGTGCCAACTCCAGCCCTGGGCCTGTGGGAAGGGCTGGCCCGCTGTCTGGCTGGAATGCACTTCAGTCTGGTGGGTGGTGCTCAGGTCTGGCCCAGTGCTGCAGGAAAGTCACACACAGGTGTGCCCTGACGGAGACCACCCAGGCATCTCCCACCTGGCAAAGATTCCTGGCCTGCCCAATGCCACCAAGCCCTTCTTGTCCACAGTCCAATGTTTCACTTCCTCCACTGCACTCCAGGCCCAGCAGAAGTGACCAGAAGAGAGCCAGGCCTTGAGCCTGCTGGCTCTACCTGCTTCCCCCCATCTCCTGCCTTCAGGAAGAGGGGCTGGAGATCTTCTGCCTCTTCTGTGGCTCCTCCGGCAACTGAGCCTTGGCCTTCCTAGGCAGGGAGGGGAAGGAAGCCTAGCCCCTTGGGTAAACAGGGCAAAGGGAGGGACTGACCTGACGCTTCCTGAGAAAGAGGTGGGGCCTGTCCTGCCCCCATACCCCCTACAGCGCAAGGGAGATCTAGAGAGAGGGTGGGGCGGGCTACAAGGAAGTAGAGGTACACCTGACACCTAGAGAGGCGGGCCCTGATCCTAATGGCCAGATGGTCCAGCAGGTGTGGTGAGGCCCCACTAAGCACAGACGCCCCACCCACAGGCAGAAATCCTGTGAGGCCCCTCTTCACCAGAGCTGTTACCAAGTCTCCCAAACCCTGACCCGACCACCCGACTCCCATCAACACACGGAGGACAGAGTATGGCATCCAAAATATCTTTAATAATGGGATAAAGTCCATCGTTAGTTTTTGTAGCCTCGGCTTGCCCGTCGACCTCTGGCACGCTCGAACTTCCGGCCCTTGGAGCGGACATAGGGTCTGTGGGAGAGAAGATGTGTGAGAGGAAGTGCACCCAACAGGAAATAGAGGTGACACAGGAATGGAGCCTTGGCAGTACCACCCCAGCAGTCATACCCCTCCCGCCCCCTGCTGGCCAGTGTGGAGAGGTGGGAAGGAAGGCCAGATACTCACTTGGTGTGGCTGTGTGGGGTTCCCGGAGCCTTGCCAAAGTGCCGGTACACCTCCCGGCCCTTACGAGGACCTGGGTGAGGAGAAATAATAAGCCAAGCAGGGATCTTGGGCCTGGTGCCTAGCTGCCCCAACCACCAGGCACCCACCACTCACCAGACAGCAGGACGGTGCCCCGGCCTTTCGGAGAGTCCAGGGCCAACTGGTCAAAAGTGAGGATTTTGCCCCCAGCCTTGAGGATGCGGGTACGGGCCCGGCCTGTCACACGCAGTGCGCACACCTGAGGGAGATGAACAGCGGTCAGCAGCCCAGAAGAGTAGAACCTGGCTCACTCAGACTGTGGCCAGCAATCCTGAGTGAAAGCTTCTGTCCCCTTCCACCCACAAGCGTGCAACAAATCAGGAAAGCCAGGCAGAAGTAATTCAGTCTTGTCCAAAGGACCAAATGGCAAAACCTACACTTGGAACCCACAACAGGCTCAACAGCTAGTGTTGTTCAGCAATTCTGTACTGGAGGAGAGAGATTGAGCCTGGACGCCCACCCCTAGCACTGACAACCCCATCCAATCCTACAAGACACCCCAACAGCTGGCTGGTGATGCCCACCAAGCTGCAGATCTGAGGGATGTCCTGAGCCTTCGCACCTTGAGCTTGGGCACCTCCAGTACGCGCACGTCATCCGTCACGGTCCCCACCACCACAGCCGTCTTGTTCTCCCGACCAGGAAGCTTCATCTTTCGGATCTTCGGGACATACAAAGGGTGAGTGGCTCTGGCATTTCAACCCCATTGTCTTAGGACAGTCTCATCCACCCCCAAACCATGACAAGCTTGAGTCAGGTCTAGCTTGGAAAATCCTCCAAGCTCTGACTGGTTACAGCGTGATAAACCTTCACTGTTCAACTATAAAGGCTTAGAACATGGCCCCAAAGGCCATCACCACCCCACCTTACAGAGAGGAACCAAAGCCACCTGCCAAAGCAGACATCTACAGACCTCCGATTGCACCCTAGGGGAGACTCCAGCGCTCTGGACCTGCCACTCACCATCCGGGACAGGGACAGGGGCGGCCGGTTGGTGCGACTCATGAACAACCTCTTCAACACAACTTGGTTGAAGGTAGAGTTAGTTCGTCTGGCCAGAAACCTGTACAGCTGCAAGGGTGGGGGAAGGAAGAGAGAACAAGCTCAACCCTAAGCTAGCTGGGATTGCCTGGTTCCCCCACCCCAGGCTGAGGGACAGAATGGGTTCAGGTCCCTTCCTTCAAGAGGCTCAAGCATGAAGCTCTGGGTCAGAGCTACAGGAGACTGTACCCCTGCAGAAAGGACACCTGTGGCAGCCCTGCCCAAAGATCTAGACCCAAGCTCACCTTCACCAATAGCCTTAGGTAGATGTCCTGGCTCTTGGGTTCTTTGCGCCGAACCTTGCGGTCCTTGTTGTGGCGGATGTCGACTCCCTGCGGGGGTGAAAGGACAACTGTGCACCTAATTCTGAATTTGGCAAATCACACAAATGATCACTTATCCTGGAAACCCAGCAGGGACCCCAACAATGATGATAGCACCTCAAATCCCAGGCCCATCACACCTATCTAAAAGGAGACCAAACAAACATTTACATGTTACAGCATGGAAAAATGTTTTTTTTGGGGGGGTCTAGTTGTGGGTCTGAACTCTGGGCGTGGGCGCTGTCCTTCAGCTCAAGACTAGTGCTCTACCACTTGAGCCACAGCGCCACTTCTGGCTTTTTTCTTTTTGCTTATGTGGTGCTGAGGAATCGAACCCAGGGCCTCATGCATGCAAGGCAAGCGCTCTACCACTGTGCCATCTTCCCAGCCCAGCATGGAAAAATATTTTAACGCAAGAGCCCTATTCACCACCATAAAAGTGTTTTATACACTGTCTAGTTGCAAGATGCTAAGTGTTACAAGTGGAAATGTGATTAAAGTGTAAAGCCCTTGCATTAACAAACCTTATTACTTGCCCCCCACCCCAATCACCTAGAAAGCCAGCTTGAGATGTCAATCTCAAAACAACTAGCACCACACCTCTGTTGTAGTTACATTTCAGGAGAGACTGCACATACAGCATCGCACTCAAACAAGTATTTTGGGGGGCTAAGAAAACCCCACGATCACCTCCAACAATCACCCATCTGCTCCCTCAACTATTCTCCCACACTCCGCCCCGCCGAGCATCGCCAGTTCCCATTGACCCCGCTAACCGGACTTGATGAGTTCCTTCCAGTCTGTTTCTCACAGACGAACAAAACCAGGAGACGGTCATCACCTGCGGCCACGACCCCGCTGTGCCGAGTCCCGTGAAGAAACACGGCCAGGGCAGACCGGGGACCGAGACTTTCAGATTAAGGACTTAATAATACAAGTTCCGGGCAGAGTTAGCAAACGCCAGCTGCCGCCCAGAACGGGACCCCGGCTCGGCTACCTCCCGGCCTGCGGGCCAGGGTCCATCACTCGGGCGTCTTAACGCTTCGATGACACCAGTGCGGCAGGAGGCCCGAGGCTGCGGCTCCGACCCCTTCAGTCTCCGGGGTCCCACTGGAATCCCTTTGGCCTCGGAAATCGCTTCCTTCGGGCCCCCGCAGAACCCCAACACCCCTCGGGCATCTCCCCAGACCCAAACCAGAGAGGATGGAGGCAGATGGTCCCGACGTGAACGCCGCAAAGAATGCTCACCATGATGGCGCCTCCTGCTCAGCCAGACGCGGAAAGAGCGAGCGGCGCCGGAGTGGGCGGGGGAAAGCCCCCGGCGCGCGGCGCGCTCGTGACGTCACACAAGCGTGAGGCGACACTCTACCACCAGCCGGCCTTCTCTATGGTGAGGTGGGAGGATCTCGCTAGAAGGGCGGAGGAACAACCAAAGGGGTAGGAGAGGGGGGAGAGGAAAAAAGAGCGCGACGTCGAGGATAGAAGGGCCGCACGTCAGGATCCTCTCTGGCCCTGCTCCAGTGTCTGCTCTCTGTATTTTTCCGGGAAAAAGGGATCTAGTCCGGGAGTTGGAGAGATGCGTGGAGCTAGGAGGCCTCGGGCGGCGACGCTCTGGCCCGACCGCCTCTCGGTGGCTCCGGGAGGACCTGGCGGGCCGAGTGTTGGTGGAGGTGAGGAGGCGGGGCCGGCGGGGCCTTGGAAAAACCTTTCACCCCAAGGCTTCCGGCATTTCCTTAGGTTCACAGTTGCCTTTTCTCTCGCACTAGTAGGCGCCTCCGATGCTCTGGAAGTCCTGCTAAATGTCTAACCGGAGATCGCCTTGCTGCAGTTTTCAATCTGTAGTTCTGTCTGTTTCCACCTCTTGGGTTTCTGCTTCTCTTTTGCCCCCCAGTCGACCTGTTTCCTGATCCTTCCTCAGTCTTCCCCCCTCAGGGAGGGACCGGTTTTTTTTTTTTAAGGCCGACAGGTTCAACTGGCCCAGCACTTTCGATGTGAAGGATATACAAGGTACTAGGGTGCAGACAAAGCACGCTGAGGCCCGGGAGTGGGAAATGGGGTGGAGAGAGGTTGGGTAACAAGCGCCTCCGGGACCGTCGTGGTGGCTCCCATCTGTAACTCCACCTGTTTGGGTGGCAGAGATATAAGTCTGGTTTGAGGTCAGCCTGGGGATGTTCAGGAGACTTCATTTCAACAAACAAACGTGGTATGGTGTTTAACATATGTAATCCCAGCTACACCAGGTAGCAGATTTGGGGATTAGAGTTAACCCTATCTGCAGAAGCACTATAGCAAAAAGGATCAGAGGTGTGGCTCAAGTAGTTGAGGTGCTTGCTTGCCTATTCCTGAGTTCAAAGTGAAAGTGGAGTGAAACTCCAGGGAAAATTAGAAACACAGTGCTAGGCTGTCACTAAAATGAACAAAGCAGGTCCTGGCTCTGCATTTCTCCGCCCCTCTACTTAGTGGTGTCATCATCTTAGGTGAGTCTGTGTTCTTTCCTTATTTGGAAGAATTTTTTTTTTGGGGGGGTGAGGGGTTGTTCGTGGGGCTTGAATTCCAGGCCCTGAATTCAGGGCACTGTGCCTGAGCTCTATATTGTTCAAGGCTAGCACTCTACCACTTTGAACCACAGTGAAGCCACTTCCGGTTTTCTGGAGGTTAGTTGGAGATAAGAATCCCCCAGGTTCTCCTGCCTAGGCTGGCTTTGAACCCCAATCCTCAGATCTCAGCCTCCTGAGTAGCTAGGATTCCAGGTGTGAGCCACCTGTGTCCAGAAAAAATTTTAGTGCAACTCTCATATATGGCAGTTTTCTGGGTTACACAAGAGAATAAAAAATGTTGAAGTCAGTGTTTTGTACATACTAGTTATTTCTTGAAATTAGCAATCTGATGGGCTGATTGATGGTCTCTGGCACAGAGTCTAGCAGCATCTTTTGCCATCTGCTGGATGCTTCATCTTAACTCCCATCTCCTTCACAGAGTTGGAGGACAGGCCTGGACAGTGAGGCCTTACTCCTGGCTCAGACCACCCTCCTATGGCCTTGGACGAAGGGCAAAGGAGGTCCTGCTGCTGGACAGAGTGGACACTTTAAATCAGAAGAGCAGCAGAACCAGGTAAGCGTCCATCTGAAATGCTCAGAACTGTGATGGTTCTTTTAGCTCATCTCTAGGCAGGTGAATAGCTTTCTTCTCCACCATTTTCCAGCCATGGTAGAGGCTTCCCATAAGCCATACAGGGCTGGAAGCCTCCTTCTCCTTCTCTTCCAACTGTATCTAACTTTTGGATCCCTTTTCATCGTAAGTTGTCTTTGGATCTGAACCTCAGCCTCTTTGGTTCGGGGTTTTTAACCTTCCTTCTCTGGGGACTCCGAGTTCCCATTGCTTTATCTCCTTTCTGTCTGCGTAATGCTTGACACGTGTCTGGATCTGTGGCTCCTGTAGGTTTCCAGCCAGCTATCTGTCTTTGGCAAGAAGTGAATGAACTTCCCCTACCATGTGAGCCACACCTCCACTTTTGATCTCTTCCTTGCCACATTTGCCTTCCTGCAGTTCGGTCTGATGTTAGATCTGCTCGGACGCATTTATTTTCAATCTCATCATGCAGGCTAGTAGATCTTGAGTTCATATCCCAGCCCTGGGGGGGTGGGGAGTGGGAAGGGGAGAGACTAGGCTTCCAGTCCCCTTCCCTGGGTCTGGCTGACCCTGTGGTCCTGGGCCTTTCTTACCCTGCCCCTAAAATATAAAAGCTCCCATTCACTCCGGTCTTTGCCAGGATTCTTTACCTCCCACTCACTACCTTAGAAACTCAATGGATGGAAAGGTGGAGGTGGAGGTGAGGCTGGACCGAGCTTTCCCTCAACAAAGAAGGCGCCGGCGGTGCTGTCCGCGGGCCTGTGACGCCACTCCGGCTGCGCGTGTGCCCTCACTTATGATGGCCGCTGGCCTGGCGGCGCAAGAGTCCCCGCCCCCTTCTCTCTTGCTCGGGTAGCCGCCCCCTGCGCCAAGCTCGTGAGTCGCGGGGCCCCGCCCCCCGCGCGTTCTCATTGGTGTATCTCAGGTTGGCCGCATGGCCATTGGCTGCAAGAATGCACACCCTCCCCGCCCCACCCTTAGGTCCGCTGGGGGCGGTTGTGCGGACTTGGGGGCCCCCCCCCGGGCCTGGAGGAGGACTCGGCTTGTGAGGATGGTGTGGGGATGGGGGCAGGGACCGGAGTCGGGTGCACTGGTGGACCCAGAAGAGTGGACACGTGGGCTCTCGGAACTGGGGAATGCTCGGGTGGGAAATGGAAATGTAGGTTGCAACGCAAAGACCTAGGGATGGAGACCCAGGCCTGCGACCGAGGGGCCTGGAGACAGAGTTAGGCCTGTGGGTTAAGGACCAGTGGATGGAAGTCCAGGCTCAGATCTGGGGTCCCAGATTAAGCCAGGCTCAGGAATGGATAACATCTAGGGCGTTGTGCTTGAGTCTGAGTTAAGGTCCCCATTGGGGGGGCATTGTGTGTTTGGGGGTGAGGCAGACACCTGGGCATCCAGGAAGTTGCCCTAGCAAACAGCACAGAGCTGGTTGCTAATCGTGAGTCCACAGATGGCTTCGTGTCTCAGGCAGCTGTCCCAGTGAGCAATAGGGACAGGGGGGCTGGACTCTAGGGTGAGGAGTAGGTGAGGCAGGGCATTGGAAGGGAACAAAGGTGAGCTGAGCTGGAAGGAGGTGAGAGGCAGAAGCCTTGCAGAGGGCTGGAGAAAGGGACCTCTGTTCTGCCTCCTGCCCTCTCCCTGAAGATCAGGCTGACAACGTCCAGGTCAGTGCTCAGAGACAAGTTCTCTGTCCCTTGCCCTTTTCCAGCACTGGCTTGTGGCTTCTCTGATCCCCTGGGTGGTCTCTGTCTCATCCCTTCTTCTCTCCTCTCATGCTGTGGCTTTTCTCATTGGAGTGAGCTACTTATTCCCCAACATGATCTCAGGCGTTTTTGCTGTGTCTGCCTGTCCAGGGTTATTTATTACTCTCTTCACCTGCGGATGACTCAGTGCCCCCATTATCCAATCTTCTGCCTTATTCTCCACCTAAGGTATATTGGGTAATAACCAGACATGCTCTTGTGTCTTATTTTGAGTGTTTTCTGTTACCTAAGGTATATTGGGTAATAACCAGACATGCTCTTGTGTCCTATTTTGAGTGTTTTCTGCTTTGAATATAAACCCAGGGAAGGCAGGGATTCTTTTTCTTTCTTTTTTGGTCAGTCGTGGGGCTTGAACTCTGGGCTTGGGCGCTGTCCCTGCACTCTTCAGCTCAAGACGAACGCTCTACCGCTTGAGCCACAGCAAGGCAGGGATTCTTGTCTGCTTTGTTTCCTGCTGTGTTTGCCCTAACACCATGGTTAGCACAGAGGACCCTGAATAATGAATACAGGGATAAAGGAATGAATATCTGTTTGCATGCCCAGGTCTCTGGGCCCTTTGGGATGCTGGCATTTCGTCCATGTCTCTCTTGTTTCTGGTACTGCCCTGGTAGGCCCTGTCCCTCTCTCCACCTGTCATGGGGGTCTTGGATGCTGACCCTTACTCTCCTCCCACAGAGGCTGGAGCACTTGCTGACCTGGAGCTACAGCCACAGGCCTAGCAGCACTCTGGACAGGGCTTGAGGCCATGGCTCCACCATCTGCTGCCAGCATCCCTCTCCTACATGGCGAGTTTGGTTCCTACCCAGCCTGTGGACGACGAGTGGCCCTCACCCTCACCCTGAAGGCCCTGCACATCCAGCAGCTGCGCCCAAAGCCAGAAGCACGACCCCGGGGTGGCCTGGTGCCCCTGGCCGAGGTGTCTGGATGTTGCACTCTGCAGAGCAGCAGTGCCTCAAACACCGCAGCCTACTTCTGCATCTACACCTACCCGCAGGGCCGGCGTGGGGGCCGCCGAAGAACTACCCACACCTTCCTGGTAGATGGGGCGGCCACCTATGAGGAGAACCGGGCTGAGGCCCAGCGCTGGACCACAGCCCTCAAGTGTCTGCTCCGAGGAGTGCCGCTGCCTGGGGATGGGGGTGAGATGCGCAGCTAGGGTGGCTTCCCCCATTGTGTCTGTGTGACGTGTCTCTGAGGCAGTACTAAGCGAGATCCAGACCCAAGGGGAATAGGCTACCCCAGGAGCCCCCAGGCTGTGGAGGGTCAGGGAAGGCTTTTAGCAAAATAAGCTTTCCTCAGGCACACCAGGACAGACCTGATCCAAGTATCAGGTGTCTGAGGATAGATGGCTCCTTTGTTCTCCCTAGTGTGTTCAAAGGGCACTGGGTTTCACACTCAAGCCCTGCATGAGCAGCACCTGAGAGACAGGTGAGGGGTGGAGTGGCACACCTAGGCCCCAGGGCCTGGCCTGTTGAGGGCTGGGAGAAAAACAGTGTCAGCAGGCTCTGGGTCCCTGGCCTCTGTACACCTCTCTCTCCCCCTCCCCTACAGAGATTACCCCTGACCTCTTACCTAGGAGACCACGGTTGCTCCTATTGGTCAATCCCTTTGGGGGACGTGGCCTGGCCTGGCAGCAGTGTATGAACCATGTGTTGCCCATGATCTCTGAAGCTGGGCTGTCCTTCAACCTGATACAGACAGGTAAGGACAGCCAGGATGAGAGGTGGGGGCTGCAGGCTAGAAGAAGCCTGCCAGCCTGCCTGATTCTGTGTTACGCCTCTTTAGAACGACAGAACCACGCCCGGGAGCTGGTGCAGGGGCTGAAACTGAGCGAGTGGGATGGCATTGTCACTGTCTCAGGAGACGGGCTGCTCTACGAGGTAGTGTAGGAGTTCCCTGCCCTAACCTGAGCCCTGAAGGGCTGGCTCTTGGACAGGTGGTCTCACACCACCCCCTCCAGGTGCTGAACGGGCTTCTGGATCGCCCTGACTGGAAGGAGGCTGTGAAGATGCCTGTGGGCGTCCTCCCCTGTGGCTCGGGCAATGCGCTGGCTGGAGCACTGAACCAGTTTGGGGGGTAGGTATGGGGCTCCTCTGGGTGGGTGAACTAAGGGTTGAAGCCTCCCTAGGACAATGGATAGCTTCACCCCCAACCCACACCCCAGTTCCCTAGTAGCAAGAACAGTGCCAGACTCCCAGCAGGCCCAAAGCAGGTGCTGAAAAATCTGGAGGTGATCATGTGCCATCTCCCCTTGCCTGCCGGGTCTCAGCCAAGCCTCTCTGCTCTTTCCCCATGCGGTGGCTGCAAAGGTTCCAGCCGGCCATGGGCATAGACCTGTTGCTCAACTGTACACTGCTGCTATGCCGGGGTGGCAGCCATCCGCTGGACCTGCTCTCGGTGACGCTGGCCTCCGGAACCCGCTGCTTCTCCTTCCTCGCTGTGGCCTGGGGCTTCGTGTCAGATGTGGACATCCAGAGCGAGCGCTTCCGGGCCTTGGGCAATGCCCGATTTACCCTGGGCACAGTGCTGGGCCTTGCGGCCTTGCACACCTACCCGGGGCGCCTCTCCTACCTGCCTGCCGACATGGACTCGGCCTTGCCCAACCCTGCGCACAGCCTGCCCCGGGCCAAGTCGGAGCTGACCCTGGCCCCAGCCCCGGCCCCGCCCGTGGCCCACTCCCCCTTGCACCGCTCGGTGTCTGACCTGCCCCTGCCCCTCTCCCAGCCTGCCCTGGTCTCCCCCGGCTCCCCCGAGCCCCTGCCTGAGCTCACTGTCAATGGCAGGAGCCCGGAACTGGTGGGAGACTGGGGAGGAGCTGGGGACGCGCCCCTGTCCCCAGACCTGCTGCTGCCCTCTCCCCCCAGCTCCCCCATCACGGAAGTGCCCCCGGGACCCCCGCCTCCCGCCCCTGGGGCCCCTGAGGGCTGTCCGCGGGGCCCCCCCGATGACCTGCTGCCTCCCTTGGGCAGCCCGCTGCCCCCCGAGTGGGTGACGCTGGAAGAGGACTTCGTGCTGGTGCTGGCCATGTCCCCCAGCCACCTGAGTGCGGACCTGGTGGCGGCCCCGCACGCGCGCTTCGACGACGGCCTGGCGCACCTGTGCTGGGTGCGCGCCGGCGTCTCGCGCGCCACGCTGCTGCGCCTCTTCCTGGCCATGGAGCGCGGGGCGCAGTTCGGCCTGCGCTGCCCGCACCTGGGCTACGCGGCCGTCCGCGCCTTCCGCCTGGAGCCGCTCACGCCCCGCGGCATGCTCACGGTGGACGGGGAGCTGGTGGAGTACGGGCCGCTCCAGGCGCAGGTGCACCCGGGCCTGGCGACCCTGCTCTCCGGACCTCCGGGAGACCCGAGCCCCGGCCTACTCTGACGGCCCGCCTGCCCGCCCTCCTCGGGGCGGGGGTCCAGAGAAGTGCCGGAGCGGCCCAGGCCGGCCCGGGCCTCCACGCGCCGCCCCTCCCACCCCGCCCGCGGCGGCCGGGGGCGGAGCTTTGCCTTAAGGCGGGGCCGAGTGGAGGCCCTGCCCGCCCTCCGCGTCCCAGGCTGCCAGGGGCCGGTTCCCCGGAAGTGGGGGGGGCTCCCGGGTCAGCCGCGACTCCATTCCATCCCCCCCCCTCCGGGCGGTGGGAGCGGGGCCCACGACCCTCCGGTTCGCGCCCCCGCCCCCTGATCTAAAAGCAATTGAAAAGGTCTATGCAATAAAAGGCAGGCGCTTCACCCTTCCCGGCCGCTCCGGCCTCCGCCGCGGGGCCCCACAACAGCCGGCTCTGGTTCTCAAGGTTTATTCGGGATCGAGTGAACGGAGGCGGCTGGGAAGGCGGGGTCCCCGACGTGCACACCGGAACACCACCCCCCCTCCCCGTCCTCCCCCCTCCACGGGAGGGAGCGGGGAGGCTTGACTTTTTCTTAAAAATATAAATGTATTTGCATCGTTGCGTCCCTGGGACACCCCGCTTGGCCGGACCCCAGCCTCGGGGCGGGGATGGGGGCGGGGGGTTCTGAGCCCGGAGGAAGAGGAGGCGGCTCCACCTGCGGGCGGCCCGGCTCACAAGGCCCCGTGCTGGGCCTGATAGCGGGACAGCACCGCGCGGTAGTGGGACAGCTCCTGCCGCACGGCCACCACCTCCTGCCGCAGCAGGGCGTTCTCCTTCTCCAGGAAGGCCGCCCGCACCGAGATCTGGTTCTCTTTGAGCCGCCGGGCGTCCCGAGACCGCTTCGCCGCCTCGTTGTTCTTGTACCGCCGGCTCCAGTATTTCTCATCCTGTGGGTGACCGGGCATGAGGGCGCTGAGCATCTTTCTAAACACCTCCGGCACCCCCTCCTCCCCGCACACCGTGCTTCTGCTCTGCAGCAGAGCCTGGGGGATACCCGATCTTCGCAGCGGTGGGTACCCAAGGATCTCAAGGGTTACTAAAGAGAACAGATCCCAAGCAAAAGAGCTAAAGCACACAAGTCCCGAGTCTCCACTGCAGCAAAGCATACCCCCCCCCCCCAATCACCCAGCTGGGGGCCTGAAGTTAGATCCCTGTTGCTAAGGATGCTTGTTCCCTAGCAACCAGGCCTTCAGGGCCTGAGGACTTAACCACAGCCTATTATCCATCACCTTCCCTGGTTGCTAAGGAAAGCTTAGGTAGGCCCTCCAATGATGGGAGTTTGTTGTCATTAAAACCCTGGGACTCTTTTGACCTAGTTGCCAAGGCAACCTCATGGCTCCTTGGCAAAGAAAAGTGAGCTGTAAGTGGTGAGTCTCCGAAGCTGGAGAGCTACCCTGGCCCCTGAGACCTCCCCTTGGGTCCTCCAATCCCAGAATGCAGTTACCAAGGACCACTGCCAGCTGCGGAAAATGCTTCCCTCGGCTCCCATTTCATTCAGGCTAGTTGCTACTTGTTAGAACATATCTACGGGCCCAGATAATGGAATCAGAATAAGAGAAGCTATCAGTCTAGACTCTGGGGCTCTTATCTGCAGATGGTTGTGCCCCACCCACAGGCAAGGGAGACCAAGAAGACCACAGCACAAAAACAAGAATTCAGTCACCACCCCAACCATACCCTTCAGACCCAGCTTCTCACAAATACAGTAGCAAAGACTGTGCCTCCAGGGCAAGAGGTGATCACTCCAAAGGATGCCCCCACACTGAAGCAAGGCTGAGGGGCTAATGAAGCTGTCCTTGGCAGCTGGGCCTCCTGGAACTTACGCCCTGCTCCACTGGGGGTTCTGGATGGTTGAAACTCAGAGAAACTCCAAGCCTGAACAATCAAGACCCGGCCCAGCCTGCTGAAACACTTTCATGAACCCCAAACCAAAGCCCCAGCCCCTGTGGGCCTCAAGATCTCAATCTTTGGATGTAGGCCAAGAACACCTGAATGATCATCCCAGTGAGAAATCCAGGTCAACTGTGAGCAAAGACTTCCTTAGCTGTGGTTCTGTCCCAGGCCAGGCCTGGTCCCCACATCCCTTGTGTGGCTCACCTTCTGATCCTCTGGCACCTGGATTTTCCTTGCCTTCTTCATGATTGGCTGAGGCTTAAGTTCCTCCTCAGAAAATCGGTGTCTCCGAGGATCAAAGGTCTCATGGCCTGGAATGCTTGACAGGGCGAGATCAGCAGGGTCAGGTTCAAAAGTCATCAGCACCTCCACTGTGTCTGGGTCCACAGGACTAGGTGTGTCCCGAGAGGTCACCCCTTGACAAACAGAACAGGTCACTTGAACATACATTGATTTAGGGGACTAGGGTCCCAAAAGCTACCCAACCTCCCCTTGCCCAGGCATTTTAATCCAGCACGTGGAAGGCCCTCCTGAGTGTACCCTAAAGCTTGCCTGTCTGCCAGGCATAGACCTATGTAATATAAAATATGAAAGTTCCCTAAGACACAAAGATGCTTAGGTAGGGAGACACCTCTACTTTTGCAAACAGGGAAACAGATCAGCTCATGAATTAGCCTTAAGTAACACGAATCCGGGTAATAGCTTCTAAGCCTCTAAATATATGCACTTAGTTTATGTCCCCCCACATAGTCTACCTTAAAGCCTAACCTCTGGGCAATGCTAAAACCTCAGGCTGTGCAAGGAAAAAGAACCTCCAAAAGAAAAAAAAGACTCTCCAGTTGAACTCTTTTTAAGAGCAATTCGCTCGCAAAGGATTACTGAGCAGTGAGTGGAAATGGCTCTGAAGTTTCTGAAGGTTGGGGCAACAGGAAGCGCCTGTGCCTTTAAAAGCCAACAAGCTGGGGCCAACTGAGGACACGGGTTCAGAGCCGAGTCACGTGCCGCCGCCGCCTGCTTCCCTCCTCCCCCCGGCCCGGACGCGCTCACGTTCCCGGGCCCCGCCCCCCCCGCGCGCGTGTCGGCGCATGCGCCGCGCGCAGAGGAGGGAGGGGCTCACGTGGCACGGGAATGTGCCGCTGGGAGACCTAGCCCTCGCTCCTGCCTGGAGGTCAGGGGCAGGGGTACCCAGGAATCTCAGACCTGTAGCTGCCCCCCTGAAGATCTCCCGTGGCGCCCTCAAGGGCCTCACCTTTCCCCTCGCTCCTTCCGGTTTCCGCTCCAACTTCTCACTCCAAGGATCCCCGACCCGACCCTCCCATTCGTCGGGGTGGGGGGGGGCGGCATCGGAACCGGCCCCATTCCTATACACCCAAGCCCTTTGCCACTGGGGTGCCCACGATTCTGAGATTCCCAGGCCCTCCTGTCTTAGGAATGCTGGGAGCTCCCCTGGAAAGTTCCAGAATGAAGATTCCCTCCCGATCTTCCCCCCTCTGCGGGACTCTTGCGAACAAGGGTGCAGGCTCCTTTCACCTGGGCAACCCAAATCTGCGCCCAGCCCCGGCCTCAGAGGTTCCCGATCTTAAGAGAGCGTCGGAGTTCCGTCCTAAGCCAGTGCCACCCATTCTGAGCTCAGATTCGGGGCCAGTCCCCAGCCCGGCTCTTGTCCTGAAGCCTTGGGACCCTTTGGTCTCACGCTATCTCCTGGAGAGGCTTCTGGAAACTTTGGATCCTGAGTCCCTCCTTCCCCACGGATCCAGAAAGATCAGCAGCCCCTGACCTATTTAGTTAGGGGAGAGGGGACGAGGGGGTGGGGAGTGTGTGGGGGGAGAACAGAACTTGGACCTTTCAAGACGAGGACACCCAAAATCCCCTGCCGGCAGCCAGGATCCCACGGTCCCAGCTCCAAGCCCCGCCCCCTCGCCGCCAGCCCCGCCCCTCGCCGCACCTGCGCGGTGGCCGCCGGCGGCCCCCAGGGCAGCCCGGGCGGGGGCGTGCCCTGGCGAGGAGCGAGGGGAAGCGGAGCCGCAAGAGCCCGGTCCCGGGGAGGGTGCAGGAGTGCGCGCGGGCGAGGGCACGGGCGATGGGCCTCCGGGGGGCGGCGGGCTGGGCGGGAGCCCGTGCTCCAGCAGGAAGGCGTCCAGGTCCACGTACTCCACGTCCCCGAATGGCAGCGTGCGCTCCCATAGCAGCGGTGCCAAGAGCCCCGGGCCAGGCACTGCCCCCGGGCGCCCCCGCGGGGACCCGCCGCCCCCCACAGCCCCAATCGGGGCATCTGCAGGACCCGCCGTGTCCAGGCCGGGCCCCGGGACGGTGGCTGCGGGCAGAACCGCCTTGCGCTCCTTTTCCTTCAGGAGACCTGCGGACCAGGGAAACACGGGGTGGGATAGAGATGGGGGGGGGAATAGAAGAGACACCCCCCAAAATAGGAGAGGATCCAGAGATGACAGAGATCCAGAGAAGGGAGGGGGGGACCGAGTGTCAGAGGGGAGAGACAAATCAGGCAAGGAGGGAGAATGGAGAGAAATACCCAGAGAGAAAAAGACAGGGAGAGGCACCCAGGGAGCCACCGACACAGAGAGAGAGGGGACAGAGGCCCGGGAAGGAATGAGCACCACACACATCCAAAGAAAAGAGATACAGAAGTTCAGAGAGAGGAGATGGGGGGTGGGGTGGGCAGGTGAGAGAGAGAGAAAAAAAGCGCTCTGTAATTCCTCTGTAGTTCCCCACCCGCCGCACGCCGAACCTCCTCTTGCCTCCCTCCCCCACGATTAGGAAGGGACAGGAAGGGGTTCTATTCCTCGGGCACATTCCTCATTCCTAGATTCCATGTGAGCCCCACTAGCCCCGCCCAGGCCCGTGTCACCACCGTGTGAGCCGCTGACACACCCCCTCCCTTCTCAAGACCCCAGGGGTGCAGACTCTCAGGCCAAAAGGGAGTGGGGGCTGGGGCCTAGATTCCAGTGTATTCGGGGAGCAGGACACTGAGGACGTTAAGATTCCTTGGGTCCTCCTGTGGACAGATTGCAGGTTGGTACTTTAGGGACTTGGCCTCAGAGATCTGGGGTCCTAAACACCTGGGTAATTGAGTAAAGATTGGTAAACATGGACACCGAGCACGTAGGAGGTGTCTATGGACACCCCATCCATCCTCCTCCCCAACATTTGAGTCCCTAAAGGAGTGGGGCTAGAACTCACAGCTGGCCGGCTCTTTGGGCTTGTTGGTCCCCTGCAGAAGGCTCCGAAGCCCAAGCAGTGCTCCCCCTCCAGGAGGGGCACCGGCCGGGCCACCCAGCAGCAAAGGGGCCGGGGTCCTGTCGCTCAGAGGCCTCGCCATCGCCGGGCACCTGCCCCCAGGTTCATGGGCTCATGGAGAGGCGAAGGGCTAGGCTGCCAGTCACCTGCACACCTCGGTGCTTCGGGAGCGAGTGTCTGCCCAGGGTCGGGCGAGCGTAGCTTGCAAGCTTCTAGTATCCAGAACGCTGCAAATCTTACGATCGATGGAGATTTGCGGTGCACCGTGCAGAAACGTGCAACTCAAGAGGTTCCCAGGAGATCATACCGTCTGGACGAATGGGTGACAAAATCAGGTGTCCGATTCTCTGCACCCGAGGATATCCGGGGACACGGGAGCTTCTCGTTACAAGGTGGGCGAGCTTGGATCTTGCAACATTTGCAGCTCTCGCTAGGGAAGGCGCTTTGCAATCTGCACCGAGAGGTGTGCGCCGAGGGGCGGAGGAGGGGGCAGGAGAAAGCGGCCGCCTCGAGGCGTGGCCAAAGCAAACTTCTTTCGCGGAAAAAAAAATCCAAACCAAAACACCCGACGCCACAGCGCGCGCGCCCCTCCTCCGGGCCCCCGCCCGCGCCGGTCCGGCCCCGCCTGCTTCTTCGGCCGTGCAACCCGGCCGCGTGCCTCCCTCCGGCTGCAAGCACGGGCCAATCGTGTCCCGACCCCTGGAGGCGTCCAGCCAATGGGGCCCCTGGATCCGCCAAGGACCAGGAGGGCGCGTGAGGGGATGAGCTCGTGAAGTTGCCTTGCCTTTGGGAAGGAGGCGGGACACTGACCTACATTTGCCCAATGGGAGGTGGCGCAGGGGGCGGGACCTTGACCCAGTTTGGACCAATGAGGATGGCGGAAGGGGGAAGCACATGGCTCAGCGCGTGCCGTCTGTCCGGGGAGGTGGGGGGGGGGTCGGTGCGGGCGGAGAGGTGCCTCTTAAAGGAGCCTTCGGTACAAAGGAAAGCCCAAAGCTTAAACACCAAGTAGCAAATGCTTTGGAAGAAGGAAATTGGTCCGGGGGAAGAAAACTGTCACTCTTTGGTATACAAATATCTCCCCCCACCGCGCCTGAGAATCAGACCACGAGAATCAGGAAGTATTCTGTCCCTTTAATAGCTTTGTTTTGGGGTGACTCCCCTCCCCTGACAGGGAGGCTGGGGAAGGACAGGCACAATCCTCGACGGGGAGGCTCAGCGGCCGTGGGGGGCACCATCCACTGCAAGAGAGAACACAACTGGTTGGGGGGGGGATCATTTCATAAGGGGCAGGGCAGGGGGTGGGGCCCGCGGAGCTGGACCCTACCACCCAAGGTGGCGAAGGGGGAACCAGAAGGTACCAGGTACAGAGGCAGGGGAGATATATTTAGTGAGGTCCTAGATCCAACCTCGGGGAAGCTGCAAGCCAAGTGAACTAAGGACATCCAGTTCAGCTTTAGGCTGAACTATCTGAAGGTGTACGCGGGGGACCGAAGGACCAGGACTGTACCATCACATCACTGGGCTGAACCACTGCCAGAGGAAGTGTGTGTGTGTGGGGGGGGGGAGATGGGTCATACCATGTTGACCTTTCAGTAAGGGTGGCCCATTATCGGGTCGTACCACACGAAAAAAATGGGGGGTGATTCGGATCATGCCATTTTTGAAAAGTGACAGCAGTACAGACCAGTAGAAAAATTGCACAAGGAAGGAAGTGACGGGGACTCAGGTTATAATCAAATGGAAAAGACATGGGGAGAGATGTTGGGCGGTAGCACGTGGACCAGGGAGGAGAGAGAAAAATGACAGCCCGGACTGGACCACAGGGAAGCCACAAAGGGAGAGGGGGAGAGGGGCATATTACTGAGGCACAGAGGGAAGGAACACACACGCGGGTTGGGTTGGACCAGGACGTTGGAAAGGGTGCAGACTGGATCATACCATGCAGGCGATAGTTGGGGCCTCGGCAGCGCCTTTCGGGGTGCCTGGGGTCCCTATTGCCCCGCAAGGCCCTGTGGGCCAAAGGCTGCAGGGGCCGGCCGTTACCGCTGAGGCTCTGGAAGATCTGGGATGGAGGATTTTGGCTCAGGAGCCTCAGGGAATGCATCTGCCAGGGGAGGGGGGGGGAAGGGAGTGAATGAACAGGTGGGCGTGGCATCGCGTGGCCCCGCCCACCTCCCCTGGCCTGTGGGAGAAAACTGCCCCCGGTGCTGATGGCTCAGGCCTATGGTCCTAGGCACTCAGGAGGCTGAGATCTCAGGATCCAGGCTCAAGCCAGCCCTTGATTGAAACATTAAAAGCAGAGCTGTGGCTGGGCGTCGGTGACTCATGCCTGTCATCCTAGCTACTGAGAAGGCTGAGATCTGAGGATCCCGGTTCAAAGCTAGCCTGGGCAGGAAGGGCTGTGAGACTCTTATTTCTAATTAACCACCAGAAAACCAGAAGTGGTGCTGTAGCTCAAGTGGTAGAGCGCTTGCCTTGAGCTGAAGAGCTGAAGGACAGCGCCCAGGCCCAGAGTTCAGGCCCCATGACTGATCAAGAAATAAAAGAAAAGAAAAAGAAAGGAAGGCATAAAATAGTGGAGGGAGGGGTACAGACAGAGGGTCACCTGGAGGGAGGTGATATTGAGGGCTCGGTCAATGAGGATCCAGGTGACAGTTTCTGAGCAGGGCGGGGTGCTGAGGGAGCCCTGATAGGTGATAAAGCCGAAGGATTCGGGGAACAAGAGCTCCAGGCTCAGATCTTGAAGAAAATAGGCGTCATCTGTAGGAATATCAGGCCAGCATGAAGAGGCGTTGCCTCTCCTGAACCCTTGAACCCATGTGTGGGTGCTCCCTCCCAGACACACCTCAGACTTACTCTTGTAGGAGATGCGGGTGATTGTATCTCTGTTAAGGAGGCGACTTAGGAAAGGGTTTGAGCTACCGGCCACCTAAGCGGAGGTACAAGGTGAGGAGACTGGAGTCCAGAAGTCCAAAATTCTCATTCCACCTCCCCCAGAACTCTGGATCCCACATGCTCACGTTAACGAAGAGACTGAGAATGGCCAGGCCATTGGGACCCCGAGAGGCAGCACTGAGATTTCCATAGAGTTCTTGGTTGAAATGTATTAGCTGCACCTGGTGGAGGGCGGGGACAGAGAATGGGGCTGGGGGCTTTGGATTGGTGCTGAGGGGTGGAAGACCAGGTCTGAGGGTTGGGGGAACCATGAAACAAGAGAAGGAGGTGAAGGGGATGGAAATTGGGGTGACCCAGGATGGAGGATCACAAGTAAGGAGTGGCTACCTCAGCAGAGAAGCCCTGATGGTTGATCTGGTGTTCAGAGCCGGCTCCATCACGAGCTCCAAACAGCAATCTTAGTTCACTGAGTCGGTGGCTATAGAGGAGGGGACCCCCAGACACGTTGACCACAGGTCGGGGTGCAGGCAGGAAGGAGACATGGCGGCCAGTGTTGTATAAAGTACCTCGGAGCTGTGGAAGAATCATAATTTCGCAGGGTGTGAGAGGACCCAGGGAGAGCTATTTCCCTCCAATCCTCCGTTCTCTTGCGTCCAGCAATCATTTAAGCTTTGAACATAAATCTGAGTACCTGGCTCCCTCCTGGCCCATAGTAGTTACTCCATATTGGTGACTTTGCTTAATTAACATGCACTTATTGAGATACTACCACATGCCCTGCATGACAAGAAAAGAACAAGGACCAAGTGGACAGCAGACAATGAACAGCAAATCCCTGAAGTAACTGGTTACATCCTGGGCTCAGACTGGGAAGAGAAAAAGACAATGGGAAACCTAGTTTGGTTTGGGGGAGCAATCAGGGAAGGCTTCCCAGAGAAGGGGACAGTTGAACAGAGACCTGAAAGATGAGCAGCAATCAACTGTAAAATAACAGAGAGAGGATATTTGAGGAGGAAGGGAACAGCAAGTACAAAGGTCATGGGGTTGACCAGGGTGTTCAGATGGAACCCAGTGGTACTGAGGATGCAGTCTGGTGGGCAATGAGGAAGAGGCTTGTATTTTGGTTTAAGTAAACTAAATACATGTAACCCTACATCGGACAGAGTGTCAGACATCTAGGAAAGAGTATGGAAGTGGGAAGTTAAGATTTATCTAACAGAACAGTTTTTGATCAGAAGGGTAATGTTGCAGGCTGGACATTTTAAATATCTCCAGCTGCAAAGGAGTAAATGAATGACAGGAACCAGTGCCTCTGGTCAGCATGAAGGCTGTGGTCTGAGTCCAGGTGGAAGAAGATATAGAGCAGATGGGGGGGGGGGTTGTGAGAGGAGGAAGCGGAGAGGACAGGAAGTGAACTGGCTTCTAATCCTATTTATCAGTGGAACTGGAGAGAACCTGTGGTGGAAAGGGAGGTGAAGGAAGAGATGCCCCCAAGGTAACGACTCTTGAGGCTTTTGGCTACCCCTTCTAAGCAAAAGGTGGTGCCAGCTCTCCTTAGAAATGGCACAGCATAGTGGGTCCCCATATGGATTGCTGGAACCGCACTGCTTGGTTTTCATTCTGGCATTGCCATGCTGGCTGTGTGATCCTAGGCAAGTTACTTAACCTCTCTGGGCCTCTATGGTCTGCATTCATCATATAAGGATAACAATAGCATCCATTCCATGTTCTGCTTTCCATTGCTTCTTCAGACATGGGAGGACTGGGCAGCCATGTTGGGAAGGGAAGAACAAGTGGTCTAGTTCACACTAAGAACATTCCCTTCCTCCCAGCAGGCACTCCTCTTTCCCCCAGGTCCATCTCTCACCTCAGCACCCCCACTCCTGTAGCCTCCCCCACAGGATCACCCCTCCTCCAGGCCCCTTACCTTCTCTCCCCCTGTGCTCAGCCTTAGTGGAGGTAGAAAGGGGTCATACAGGACCCTCTTCAGGTCTACATCCACTGGGCTCTGCCGCTTCCCCACTGCACACAGGCTCCAGGCTGCATTCACCAGACCCCAGAAGGGAGGCCCTGGGGAGGAAGGATGGAGGAAAAGACGACCAACTAAAGGCCTGGGACCAGTAGCTCAGATCTGCTGAAAGAGCTGGGGCCTGGATATCCAGACTTTGTGTGTGTGTGTGTGTGTGTGTGTCTAGGGTCTGGACTCCTGGATGTGAGAGAAGAGACTGGGAGGAGGCAGGAGTTGGGACTCTTGGATCTGAGGCAGGAAGACGGGGGCCTGGACCCCTGAGGAAAGAAGCTGAGGCCTGGACCCCTGGGTCTGAGGGAGGAGGGTTGGGACATGGATCCTCAGGTATGAAGGAGGAGGACTGGGGGGATGGACCCCTAGGTCTGCGGGAGGTTAGTCTGGACCCCTGGGTCTGAGGGAAGAGGGCTGAGGTCTGCAATCCCAGACACTGAGGGTGAAATCTTTTTTTTTTTTTTTTTTTT